TAATCTCTTTCATATAATGATGCCGTAGGGCAGTAGCGGCTGCTTCAACCTTAGCCCTGTTGATAGAGCTACCAACTCCCTCACCAATTAACACTTTGCCGGAATAAATACCAACGACAAACGTAGGGAAATGGGACAATCTTCCCGTCTCTTTTATCATCCTTGGTACAGGTTTGGGCCTCTTTTGGGTATAAAGCATATTATGTAAAGTCCGCATTGGGTCATTAATAACAATGAGGTCTTTTAGATCAGCATCTTTCAATTGTGGTATTATGAGCTGTTCTATCACAGAGTGTGCTGCCTGTTCCCCTATATCAGCATGTACAGCACCAAAAACTGCCTTCAAACACTTGCTAACTTTAGACTCATTGTAACCTTCTCTTATTACGATGAGGTTTGATATCCCAATGTAGTCAGCAACTTTAACGAGTGCTGGCTCGTCTGTGAGATACTTTGTGATGTCTTTGATATGAGTGCGTCCTAGGTTAGGGTAAACGTTGCTGAGATATCCACGTACAAATGTAGTGAGGACATTCTTGCCAACCGATTCTAGCTGAGAGTTGTGCCCTTCCTCCTCCTTACTGCTCATTGCTGATTTGTCTATGAGGGCTTGCTGTAGGGAGGGTAGCTGGGATGCGGTAAACCCGAGGCGGTTGGCGAGGGCAGAGAGCTCCATCTCATAAACAAAGTTGTTGCCAATCCTCTTCTCTCCGGTCTTTGGATCTATCTCCTTTAATTCTTGGATGGTTTTTAATGGAGAAACATCATCAGAGGTAGTTGTAGCAGATAGCCAATACCTCCTCGAGGGATAGGGACGAAGTATATGAACAAAACGACTCACAAGAGTCCTACAAGAAGACGCCATTTTTATGCTGGACTTGACACGTGGATACACGTGCACCGCCCAATCAACCAACCCCTCCCTTTTGTAGGCGGGGTTTATACACGTGGGCGACTTGTAACTATAGCAACCGATATCTAAAACAAAATGGCCTCGTCTCTGGTTGAGGGTGAATATCTTAAACCGACTAGTATGAGCCTTGAGAGGGCAATGGCGCTCATACAAGGAAAGCAATCGGTAAATTAAAGCACTAGAAAACATTAAGTGCTCCTAGTTCTTGCATATCTTTTAACAATTAAAGTTTTAAAAGAGTTTGCTTCTCTCTATCATAGAAAAATGTGTATCAGAGACACCAGAAAATACTCCATAGACTAGCCCAGAAATACAAAAGAGGATACGTAAGAGAAGATGAGACACAAAAATTCAATAATTATCATAATCTTATAGATATTGTCTGAATTAAGTGAAGTGTGTCAGTTAATATCGTTAATTAACGAGAAACTCAAAGAAAACAGTGAAATTTATGAAGAACCAATGGATAGGCTTATTGCACTATTCAGGTACATAACTTTTATACACATGTACATGCACAATAATGTACTTCTTCCTCTTAGTTTACCTTTCCTAAAAGAGAAAGCTTCTGATGAGAACACTTATTCTACTCAAGTGATTGAGACTCTGTCTTTCCTT